CCACTTCCTCATGCAGTCTTGAATGGGTCACTTAATACCTTTCTGCCTTGGTTTCCTTACTTGCAAAGCAGCACTGGAAATACAAACCCCAAAGGTTGAAAGCACTGAATACAGTGTCTGGAGTTGCGTAAATGCCCAAAACTGGTAGCTAGTGATAAGGAAGTCTCTAGGGTTTATGCAGTAGGCCAGTAAAAGTCTCTTTTAGATCCGGTCTACTCAGTTTAAACTTTTTGATAGACATTTCAACAAGCATCTGTATCTTTTCTTATAGATTAAAAGCTACAAACCCATCTGCTTCACTTCTACGTGGGTCATTTTTACCCTCAGAATATTTTCACTGACCAGTTTATTATACAAAGCTAGTGTGAAGATGATGCAAGAATGTAAACTGAGATAGATAACTTACTAGCATTTCTTGAAATCATTTAAGCGTACTTAGTTGGCCCAGGATCAGGCAGTGTTTCGGTCTGCTGTGCAGTGTTTCGGTCTGTGGTACCGACTCAATGGCACCTAACAACAACAACAACAACAATTCCTTACTTATCAACTATCTCATTGTCTGACACTTTGCATTTATGACAATAATAAAAAAAAGAAACAATGTACAGTTCAACTATTTTGTGCATTAATGAATGCTGGCTGTGCTGGCCAAGGTTATGTGTTAACTTGGCTGGGCCATGATTCGCAGTGGTTTGGCAGTAAGGCAATATTTTAATTTGGCAGCTTTGTAATGATATAGTCATCCTCTGTTTTGTGATCTGATGTGGTCATCCTCCGTTTTCACATAACACAGATTTTCATGTAACATCTTGGTCTTTGGAAACTAACCATGTCCATCCTAACCACACAATGTCCACAATGCTGAGTCTGAAAAGTGTGCATTCTCTTCAGATATCCCTAATTTAACAGTTTAATTTGATTTTAATCCTTTTTATTTTCTAACCTATAGGGATATGGTTAAGACTCTGGTGGCGAATTTATGTGTTCCAAAAATTTTCTGAATTATGATTTTTTTTTTTGCTTAGTCAATAAGTTTATTGTCTTTCTCTAGAACACTCTCATAGAAAATTGTGGTTTGGTTTTGCTCATAGTTGCCTGCTTCTTCTGAGCTACCCCTGTTTCTTCTGGGCAAGAGACATTTGGGGATGATTCCACCTCTTCTTATGAACATCTTTTTTGGACTTCTTCTCTTAAACTGTACTCATTCTTATAGCACTATGTGCTTTCTTATACATCTCCTCCATCGTGTCTGGAGTTACGTTGTCCTTTATGTATTGAGAGAATGTTCCATGAAAGCATCTTCATCTTTTTCCATTATGTAATGCGTATACTCTGCAACGTTCTGAACCAGGATGCATTTCCTGTGTATTTCCGTGTTGTATTCCTGTACTGCTTTCTGAATCATAGCCAGAGAATCACGTGGTCCTGTCAGGAAGACTCCATCCACTCCTCCCTTAAGAACCCTAACAACTCTATGTCCAGTAGTAGTTCTGGCAGAGCCTGCATCCAAAGGTTTCCCACAAAGTTTCCCACATTGTATTCACCTCCAGTTAGCTCCACTGGGCCTTCACCGATTGTGTCTATAGCAAACCTATTGAGAAGCCTGTGGGCCAGCAGCAGGCCAGCACAGTATGCCGGAGCCGAATTTCTAAGGGCCACTTGCACACCATACTTTGGGAGTTCGTGAGCATAAACTGCCCAGACAGTCATAGCCTCTTCCGTACAGGCATAAGCAATCTGGCCAATGGGACCTCTGTTGGTTACACAAAACATCATCCTGTATTTGGGTGTGTTGCACTTATTTTTATCCTGGATTACCAAGTGTTTTTGTGCATAATAATCAGTTTTACCCTCTTGTTGTCTTCTAAATTTCACTTGGCATCTCTTGAAGTAACCTCATTCTTGACAACTTTGACAAACTCCATCCTGCAGGAGAGAAGCCGGTGTCCCAGGCTCACCATAGACCTGCAGACACAGTAGCTCTACATGGGGTGGGAGGTAGAGGTTGTTGTTGTTATTGTTGTTAAGTGCCGTCGAGTCGGTTCCAACCCACAGTGACCCCGTACGGGGTTTCCGAGGAGCGGCTGGTGAGCTTGAACTGCCAACCTTGTGATTCAAACCGACTTTGTAGTCTAGCCAGTGCATTAACCCACAGTGCCACACCAGGAGAAAGATAAAAAAGAAGTCTGCATCAAATGAGGCTCACCTTAGGCGACTGTATTCTAGTAAAGATAAAGGAGCCTCAAACATTATGAAATACTGAACAAGAACTGGGTCTAGATTTCAAGCTGTTGTGATGAACTGTAATTGTGCATATTCTTTACATAGTTAACGTTACATGAGCCTCAATAAGGAGCCTATGATTTACTTTTTCTTTTTTTAATGAAAATACAGGTCGAAAAGATGTTAAGCAACTTTGGAGAGTGTGTCCAGTACAAGGAGACAGTAAAAAGTTCCCTTGAGGATTTAATTTCTGGGTCTAAAGAGGTCCAGGACCAGGCTGAGAAGATCTTGGACACAGAAAATCTGATTGAAGCACGGCAGTTACTCCTTCGTCACCAGGTAGCCTGCCTCTGAGCTGTTGCCTTTACGTAGCGTTTACTAGTTATTGCGGATCCAGAGAGAGGAAGAGACCCCCTGAGTGGGTAGTGGTGGTGATGTTGTGCCTTGGAGTTAATTCTAACTCACAGTGACCCTGTACAGGGTTTCCAAGGCTTTACATCTTTACGGGAGCAGAAAGTCTTATCTTTCTCCTGTGGAACAGCTGGTAGTTTCAAACTGCTGACCTTGAGGTTAGCAGCCTGACTCGTAACCACCATGTTACCAGAGCTCCTTCTGAAGGGTTGAGAGATCCGATGAAATGGTTGCAAACACTTGGCCCCATCTGTTCTTTCTGGTGATAGCGGCTGTGTGCTGTTGAGTCGGTCCTGACTCATAGCGACCTTGTACAGGGTTCTCAGGCTGTAAATCTTCACAGGAGCAGAAAGTCTCATCTTTTTCCTGTGGTATAGCTGCTAGGTTCGAACTGCTGACCTTGTGGTTAGCACCCCAGCTTGTAACCCGCTATGTTACCAGGGCTCCGTTCTCTCTGCTAAATAATAATTATTTTAGAAGATTCTGCAAATTAAATTCTCAGACTGAGTGACCTAGTGGTACAAAGAATTTAAGGACATTGTGGAGAGGACATTGATTTAAGGGAAAATTGGCCTGAAACTTGCTAATTCACCCTTCTAATAATAGAGAAAAACCTAGAAATAGAGAGGGAATTTTGTTTTCATATTTGAAATTTTCTCATTATGTTTAAAATCTTCCTTTTGAATTTACAACTTAAATGCATCTTAGTCTGACATGCTATTAGAATTTGGAGAAAAGAAAATCTGGTAGTTGTTGATAATAAAGAATTTTGATCTTCTCCGGTCCTGACAGTCTGGTAGTCATAAATGGGATATGTTACTTATAACACTCCATACAAATGAACTATTATTTAAAAATCAAACATTTTAAGGAAAATTCTAGTCAATTTAATGTCTAGAAAAATGTTGGCTAATCTTATAGGTTGTTTTTTGTTGTTACTAAGTGCTGCTGAGTTGGTTCTGACTCATAATTACCCTGTATAGGGAGTCCAAGGCTGTAAATCTTGGCTGGAGCAGAAAGCCTTCTCTTTCTCCTGTGAAGAGGCTGGTGGGTTTGAACTGCTGATCTTGTGGTATGACAGTCCAGTGCTGTCATATCGAGTCACCACGCTCCCAAGTTTTATATGTAATAACATATAAAAATAGAAGCTACTTATAAGTATGTATTAACAGCACCCTGTAGGCTTTATAGAGCTAATAATTATAATATTAGGAAGACAAAATCAATTATTGCTTACTGTTACATTGTGCTCAATCATTATAAAATTATTGATGGGACTTGAATTTCGTTTAAGTTACAAAATACAAGATTTCAACTCTTGACGTTAGTATTTTAGAACTTTTCAAAATTAACGGACCAGATGCCTGGTTACATGGGCGTGTTTACTTTGTGAAAATTCATAAGCTGTATACTTCAGATTTGTGTACCATTCTACTTCAGTAAAAAGTTCACTTTAAAACACAACTTTTCCCAGCAAATGAATCATTCTAAATACAGTCAGGGGTTAAGTATCTTAACATTAACATTTATGAAGCATTGTTGTTGTTGTTGTTGTTAAGTGCCATCAAGTTGGATCCAACTCACAGAGACTCTGAATAGGTTTCCAAAGCTTGTAAATCTTTGTGGGAGCAGAAAGCCTTATCTGCAGAGTGGCTGGTGGCCTTGAACCACTGACGTTGTGGTTCATAGTCCAGTACTTAGCCTATGAAGCATACTGTTAAGTGCTGTCGAGTCGATTCTGACCAATAGTGACTCTGTATAGGGTTTCAAAGGAGCAGCTGGTCGTTTTGAATTGCTGACTTTGTAGTTCACAATCCATTACTGATACTACAGCGCCACACGAGAAATCCACAAAGTGTGGCTGATTAAAAATTATAGTGTGCACTTTATTTTTACACAGCAATGAATTCTGTAAGGATAAGTGTATCAAATGAACAGTTTTACTGGACTCTTGGTGGAGTATTGCAAAGCATGTTAACTATTCTCTAAAATTATACTCAAGTCCAACACTAAACCCGAGGTAATTATATTGTTTACCATTCAAAGCATAAAATGTTTATATTGAATGTCCACCTTTGACTAACATGGGTTACAAATGAACTGTTGTCAAGAACATGCGGAATCATAGTGACTCTATAGGTCAGGATAGAACTGCTCTGTAGGGCTCCAAAGGGGCGCATACATGATGCTGGTGAGGATGGCGCAGGACTGGGGAGTGTTTCCGATTCAACAGCAAGTAACAGCAACCGTCTTGATGGAAGCAAATCACCAGTTCTTTTCTCCTATGGGACTAATGGTGAGCTTGAAGCATGACCTTGAGGTTAATCACTATGCCAACAGGGCTCCTTCCACTTGTATGTTGCTGTTGTTAAGTGTCATCAAGTCTGTTCCGACTCTCAGCAACCCTGTATAGGGTTCCCAAGGTGCGGTTGGTGGGTTTGAACTGACGACATTGTGGTTAGCAGCCTAGTACTTATCCTACAGACCCTTATTGTTTATCTGGGAGCACGGTGTAGAATAAGGCTGCTAACTACAAGGTTGGTGGTTTAAGCCAACCAGCTGTTCCTGCTTCTGGAAAGATTTACAGCCTTGGAAACCCTATAGGTGATGGCTGTGAGTCAGAAGCCACTGGACAGCATCTGACAACAACATTGTTTATAAAAGGTCCCTGCCTGGATAACACCAAGAGGTTGTTACCCACAAGTAACCTAGTGTGGTACTGTAGGATAAGCATTGGACTACTAAAAGCAAGGGTGACGGTTCAAATGCACCAGTTAGTCCTCTTTATAAGTTGGACTATTCAGGGTCGCTATTGAGTCGGAACTGCCTCGACGCCACCTTAACAACACTAGCCTAAAGGAGCTCTGGTGTGGAGCTATTGGATGAGCACTGCACTGCTAACTGAAATGTCGGTGGTTCAAACCCAGCAGTCTCTCCTCAGAAAGCGTACTATACAAGGTCACTATCAGCCAACCGACTCAACAGCACTTAACAAGTAGCATAAAGGTTGGCAGTTCAAACGTTTACGCACTGCAGAAGAAAGGCCTCACAGTGTGCTTCCATAAAGATTACAGCCAAGAAAAAACCTTATGGCACAGTTCTACTCAGCGACACTCGGGGTCGTCATGAGTCAGACTGCTGGCGCCCTCTGTTCCAGCGTGGGTGATTAAGTCCCTGTTTAGCTGCTTAGGGAGTAACGTAGATACCCATCTGTTGATCCAATGTTTCCAGCAAAAGACAAAGCAGATCTCTGCCAAGAAGAGAGACGTGCAGCAGCAGCTTGCGCAGGCGCGGCAGGGCGAGGCGGGGCTGCGAGGCCATGTGCGGGAGGAGCTGCAGCAACTGCAGAGCGCGCTGGACGGCGTGGAGCGCAGCCGCGAGAAGCAAGAGCGCCGCATACAGGTGGGCGCGGACCACGGCCGCTCGGGCTACTGGTTTCCTCCTCAGACAAGCTGGCGCCAAACTGTCTCTCCTTTGATGCTCCAGCATCTTAAGCAATATGCGAGTTACCCCTTTTATTGATCACAACAGACTGGTGGGTAGCCTCATGGGTAGAGTTTGGCAAATGTGGATGCTGAAATGGCCCATGTCCAGAGTTGCACCATAGAAATCAGTAAGAGAGCCCGGATTTGAACCCAAACTGGACTGACTCCATGTGGCTCCACTTGTTCTCGAAGTTCTCGTTTCCTTAGACAAAAATACATGTTTAGTTGCTGTCACCTGCTCTCTCTGTCTTCTTCCTGTCTCCCTGCCTTTTTTTTTTTTTTTCTTTGTGGAAGCTTGGGGGGCTTGTTTTCTTATGACCCCTTACCCACATTTGAAGTAATATTTTTAGACCCCAGGATGTGACAGCTGGTGGAGAACTCTGAGATCATCTGGTCCACACACTTTCTGTCTGAAAATGCCAACATTGAGATCCCAAAAAAGAAACTCGTTCTAGAAGACATAAGAAAAAGTTCTGGGTGATTGCATGACATTTGAATTAATTGCTAACTTGAAGTTGGTATCTTTTCAAATCAGTGAACATATGACACACTTTGGTTATTTGTAATCTGATGTGTTATTTTTCAAATGTAGGTCACGTTAAGAAAATGGGAACGATTTGAAACCAACAAAGAGACGGTAGTCAGATACCTTTTCCAGACAGGTTCCAGCCATGAGCGCTTCTTAAGTTTCAGCAGTTTGGAAAGTTTATCGTCAGAACTGGACCAGACAAAGGTATGTAGATAAGGCCATTTGGTCTGCTGGTGCTCATTATTCAGGGGAAAAACTATTTCTACTCCGTGATCACTGTCATCATCATCATTAATTTAACCAGTGCTAATTATTTATTAATGGCTTACTTTTTTATAAGTATGTATTTCTTTATTGCAGTGAAGGTTTCACTTTAAATTGAGTGAAGGTTTACAGAGAAGATCATCAGCTTTACTTTCAACAGCTCATACACTTTGTTTCATCTCAATGATTACGGTCCCCCTCCGTGTAACAACAGTTCTCCCACTTCCTCCCTGTGGTTCTTAATTCCCTTCCACTCACCTTCCCATCCCTTCTCAACTTTGTTCTTAGGTAAATGTTGTCTTTTTGATCTTAAATGATTGTCCATTCCACAGTGAGAATACCTTATTTATTAGTGTTGTTGTTTCCCCTGTATACCTGTCTACTGCTGACTGAAAATGGAACTCGAGAGTGGTCTAGGACCATGGTACCTGAAGGCTCGCTCTTTGCAAGGCACTGGTCTAGTTGCTCAGGGGAGTGGGAAATGGTATCAAGAGCTAAGAGAACGTCTTTATGAAAATAGGAAATGGTTAGTCCCTAATACGTGGAGATTGAAGAAATTCCTTTTGGAGGGAGGGATATTTTTAGCTGAAATGTCAAGGACAGATAGATGAAGGAAAGCAGAGTTTGGGGCAGAGAAAGAACATTCTTGGGAAGGGGAAATGGCATGGGAGTTCTAAATAAGGGCATTTGGGAACGTGAAACAGCATCAAGAGAACTGAGGTTCAAGAGGAAAGTCTACCTTGCAGTCTTAAAAACCTAAAGTCTGACTTGCAGTCTGCTACATGGAGCCATTGAAGGGTTTTAAGAGAGTCACAAGTTCGTGAGCACATAAAATCTAGAACATACACTCTCCTATGTCTTTGCTTACTTTCCATTGTTCATACGGTCTTCATTCCGGTGGATAATCCTTGCCTGACTGCACTCTGGAGTGGGACACTCACCCTCGCGTGCCCTCGGAACACCAGCATGTGGCAGGGTGTTGATTGCAGCATCACATTTAATCCTCACAGTAAGGCACAGCTTTACTGATGAGGAAATCAAAATTCAGAGAGCTGTGTGTTCAAGGTCACATAGCTAGTGAAGGACAGCACCTGGCTTAACCCCAGATCTATCTAGTTCTAGAATCCGTTCTTTCTAGCTGTGTCTGCTATTCTGCGCATGCCCAGGATTTAGACAGAATGCCTACAAGGCTGCTGTAGTTTTGTTTAATTCTGCTTTTATCAACACTATTCTGTTCTTCAGGAACCCTTGTGGTGCAGTGGTTAAGCACTTGATTGCTAAACAACAGGTTGCCAGTTTGAACCCACTCAGCAGCTCTGCTGGAGAAGACCCTGCGATCTGCTCCTAGAGAAAAGCACAGCTTAGAAAATCCTATGGGGGCAGTGCCACTCTGTCACATGGGGTCACTTGACAGTACCCAACAAGAATAGCATTATGCTCTTGGGATCCCTCTGCACTGTGTTTTCCATGCACTCAGCCCACAGAAAAGGCTCGAAGATTAAATGTAGATAGTCTTTGCTAACACGGCTCTACTTTTTCCATGAATTTCTGTGGACTGCTAACCACAAGGTTGGTGATTCAAACCCACTAGCTGCACCTTGGAAACCCTTTACAGAGTCTCTGTGGGTCAGAACCAACTCAATGACACTTAACAATAACAGCAAGAAATACTGGAAGTCCCTGGGTGAGCCAAACAGGTTGAGGGCTGGGCTACTAACCAGTAGGTTGGCAGTTCAAACGCACCCAGAAGTGCCTTGGGAGACAGGCCTAGAGATCTATTTCTGGAAAACCAACCACTGAAAACCCTATGGCACACAGTTCTATTTCTGACACCCATAGGTTCGCTATGAGTCAGAAGTGACTTAATGACTCTGTGTTTAGGTTTTTCTTAAGGGAAATACTGGGGTGGGGGTGGGGCGAGGATATTTTATTTTAACTCCTGATTCTATTCATGGGATTCTGACATATTATAGCAGGACTGAATCTTCACAAATGAATGTACAATGATTCTGAGTTTCACATAAAGTGCTAGTGGGTACTTCTAACCACGGAGTTTAATGTTGTGACTTCAGCACAGTAAGTCTCTGTACCCTAAGGAAGCTAGATTTAACTCATTTTTACTTTTTCCAAATCACAGGGCACTTCTCTGAAGTAAAGGAGTTTTCATGGCACTGTGGGTTAGGCACTACCGGCTGTCAACAGCAAGGTTGACGGTTCAAACCTACCAGCTTCTCCATGGGAGAATGATGAGGCTGACTGCCCCTGTAAAGATTTTCAGTCTCAGAAACCCAGTAGAGGGTTGGTATGACTTGGAATCAACTCAGTGGCAGAGGGTAGGGTGGGTCTCTGAAATCCTGATATTTCCATGAGAATAGTAGGTCATTAAAGACATGAAGATCCCATAGTATCCACACTAACCCTGTCTCCTATGGCATTATGGAATAACTCAGGGAGAAACTCTGAAGATGCTGTTAGCTGAGCTTTTCAAAATGACTTTCATCAGCATTTTGTGTCACCTATGAAGGAGAAGGGCATGAGTGATCAAGATGTAAATCTCTTGTGAGATTCTCTAGTAGGAGAAACAGTGAGATACTAAGGTAATTTCCTGTCCTTAAGATTCTCTCTGGGTTTCCTTCTTGTAAACCAGTATTTACCTTACAAGCTTGAGATAGTGACAAAAATTTACCATATGAAAGTAACTTTTAAATTAAAATAGTTACTGGATATATGTTATACGTTTTTGTTCGGTTCTGTGGATTTTGACTCATAGTGCCTCTATGTGATACAGTATAATGACCCCCTGCGAGTTTTCTGGGCTGAAATCTTTGTGTTAACAGATTACAAGGTCTTTCTCCCACAGAGATGCTGGGTGAGTTTGAACTGCTAACCCGTCAGTTACCAGTCGAGTGCTCAGTCTGTGTGGCACCAAGGTTCTTATCTAGTACACTGTTGTTAAGAAGTGCCATGAAGTCGGTTCTGACACATAGCATCCCTGTATAGAGTTTTCTAGAAGTGCCTGGTAGGTTTGAACTGCCAACCTTTTGGTTAGAAGTCCAGTGCTTACCCTATAGTGCCACATCAGGAGTTCTATCTATTACATAGTTACTGAAAATTAGTATGTAAATTTATATACCTTTCTGTTCCTAGTTGTATGGAAAGGACAAAGCCGAAATAGATAGTTGCCAGACTCTTGTTGTTCAGTGCTGTTGAATTGGTTCTGACCCATAGCGACCCTTGATAGGGTTTCTGAGGAGTGACTGGTGAGCTTGAACTGCCAACGTTGCAGTTTAAACTGACCTTGCAGTCCAGTGCATTAACCCACAGCACCATTTCTAATGAGGTACTAACAGTGACCTTATAATAAAAAACAAACATTGCTGTCTGAATTTTATTGGAAAGATACTAAAAAGTTAAGTAATTCACCCAAAGGCAAAGAAGTAGTAATTGGTAGATTCAAAATTCAGGTTTCACTGGTTTAAATGTGTCTTCTTCCCATCATACAGCATATACATGTATAGTAAAAATGAGTGAACAGCTCCAAAATCAGAGTATATGCTTTACTGTGAACTAGTTAATAAAGTAATAAAGATCATTATTATTCTGTATTGATTAAGACATTCTTCAAAGTAATGAACAGGTCTCAGTCTTAACTGGCATGTTGCTGATAAGTGCTCTCAAGTCGATTCTGCCTCATAGTGACCTTATATAGAGTTTCCAAGGTCACCCTTTTGGGTTTGAATCACCAACCTTGAGATTAGCAGTCTAGTGCTTATCTTTCCGTGAGCACCAGTACTCCAGTTGTTGACCTAAAAATCTATTATCTCCATGATTGAAGAATCAGTCACTGGTGGTCATTTCATGGACTGTCCCATAGTCAACTCACATAATTGTGGATGAGTTCATTATTACAATGCAGCTTGGGAACTTAAAACTACAATTGAGAAACACAGAGAGAAAATTTTTGTAAGAATTCTTGAAGAACTCAATAACTATGTAAGTAAATAGCTGATGAAATAAAAATAATTTTAACAAAATATCTGTTTGTCCAGGATGAAAATAAATCAGTTTTATTAGCCAAGACTAGTTTAAGATCCATATATATATCTGAATCCATCCATGATCCATCACCCATTCCATCCATCATCCATCCATCACCCATCCATCTATCCTTCCATCCATTCATCTATCATCCATTCCATCTACCCATCCTTCCATCTGTCCATCCTGGAGGAGTCTCTGAAGTATATGCCCTTACTTTGAGGACAGTCAAATATAAAACGCCCTTGTAAAAATTGTGCTATCTTTTTTCTAGGATTTTGCTAAAAGAACAGAAGGTGTCGCGGTCCAGGCTGAGAACCTTGTGAAGGAAGCCTCAGAGATACCACTTGGGCCCAAGAATAAGCAGTTGCTTCGACAGCAGGCCAAGTCAATCAAAGAGCAAGTCAAGAAATTAGAAGACACGCTTGAAGAAGAGTATGTGCTTGGCCAGTCCTAAACTCTCTTCTCTGAGATAAAGTTAAATACAGTCTTTCCCGGATGCTGTATTCAAAACATTCTTTTAAAATCTCAAAGTGTCCGTGTATTTCAGCATGTTTTGAGAAAGCGACTCAGAATTCCAAAGAAAGTATCACTATACAGAAAAGCAACGCAGTATTCAGGGATGTTGTTTCTGCTCAGGAGAAAGGCATCACTGCTAAATTCTGTGGCCTTCATATAGCGTAGAGAGAATCTCAAAAAGGAACCCATATTTAAAATGATTTTGTGACTTGTATGATTTTGCTTTGTTGTCTCTAGGTATATGGAAGGAGACATTCTAGCCCTAATACATATCATGTAGACACCCCAGTGTCCCCACCCCGAGCATCTCACAGAGTTTGTCTCTACTGCATCAGAATCCTAACTGCCATAGAACGACAGGCTATTCCCAGAAATTATCTTCAAATTTCTATTTTATTTTAAATCTTTTTATTGTCTGTTTATCTGAAAAGAAAGAATGAATGGCTTGACCGACTATTTAACCTGTTATATATACAGCATACACAAAAAGAATTTGGAGGAAATTAGTATTTGAGGATATAACAAGTGTTCCTGGATGGCTGCTAAGCATTTGAACCTTCAAAGTTAATTTGTTTAAATAATGAAGATTCACCACATAGAACGCCATAGTACTCTTAGGCTATAGAACGTCATTTCTAAGAAGGATTTTCAAATGTAAAACTTGTTTCTAATACTACTAACAACTTTAAATTAGCATTTAGCTTTTCCATCAACTTTACCAATTTGATCATTTACTTAAAACAAGCTTTGAGTTGAAACTTTGACGATTTCATATTTCCCCCTCAAGTTTCGCAAGTAGTAAAACTTAGAGTGTATTTGAAAGGAGAATACTTGCATTAGCAATATCCATTTGAATCCTTGTTTCATTAAAAAAAAAAACAAAAAAAAACCGTAAAATATTACATAGTTAGCATTAACCTGCATATCAGGCACAGCCGGGGGGAAGAGTGTGATACTGTTAAATTTGACAATCAGTGATGTCACGGAGCCTTCTGTGATGTCTTCAAGTGCCTTTTGAGGAACAGGAACACTTGTTTTCCCCCCACCACCTATTTCTCCTTAAAACCCAAGGATTTGTCAGTTACATGGCACACTGTGTGTTTCTTAGTGATTTTCTAAAGTACAAGCCATATTCACCTGGTTATATATGCACAGCTATATCTAAAATTTGTTCACTAGGTTGATTACAAAGAAAGCCCGAGCTGTCTAAAAGCAGCTGGAGCGCTCGCTCACTCACGTACAAGACGTTATAAGCCCCTTGGAGTTAGGATAGTTCAGACATTCTGAGAATTGCTGAAATCGCTCCATTTACACGTTACAGGCGTGTCTCTAATGAGAGTGTACCTGCTTCCCAGTCTGGTATTACATCCACAAGCCCTATCTCCATTCGGCAAGATGTATTATAGAAAGCTTTTTGGTATTAAGCAACAGAGGCATGCCTCTCATTTAAAAGCAAGATACATGCCTATAAAATAGAGTCTCTAAAAACCGTGTGGACTAGACTCTATTCTGGTACTGTTTATTCAAGTTAGTCCTGGTACTCTAGGCCACATGCAGAGTTTGGCTAGACTCAACCCCCTTGGGAACCCAGCTATAGTTTGTTGAAAGCATAGTAGCATTCCTAGCCCTTTGTAGATGCTTCCTTGTTCATTGTTTATCCTCAGAGGAGCTGAGGAAACTTGAGGTCCGCAAGACTGCTCAGATCAGATGTGTATTTGTTTTGGGTACAAATAGTCCCAACTTGGAAATGGTCGTGAACGCCTTCACAGACTTTTCACTCGGTGATTTAAAGAATGCTCTATTATTGCTCTCTATTAAATGACTGCATTTTGTTTACTTAATTTGGTTAATTTTAGTATAAAAACCATGGAAATGGTGAAAAGCAAGTGGGATCGCTTTGGCAGTAATTTTGAGACCCTGTCCTCCTGGATAACTGAGAAAGAAAAACAACTTAAAGCCTTGGAAAGTTCTTCACCTGCTTTGGACGTGCAAATCAGCCAAATTAAGGTGACCTGCTCACACGTTACATTTCTGATCCATGACTAGCTTTTAAGGACTCCTTTCTTACCTTTCAAATGCTCTTTGGCCCCAGGACAAATCTTTCAGTACTATGTGACTCTATTAAAATTAAATTCACACAAAATACTGAGCCTAAGAGGTCTTAATTGATATCGGGCAATATTTTAGAGATGGACTTATGTATTAATATTGTCTAACTTATGCATTCAAAGTTAATATTGTGTGCAATATCATTAAAATATTTTTATGTTTACATTATTCTTTTCCTTGATTTTCAACTAACCGCACAGGAGTGCTCTGTTGATTCATTGATACGACATTCAACATCTACAACTATACACTTTTAAGAACCATTCCTAATGTGTGGGTCAAGTGTTGGTAGCATTTACCCCAGCCAGCCACAAGGAGATGTTCAATAAATGATTTTCTTTAGGTGAACCAATCAGACACATTTTCAACAGTTGTCATTTATGATGACCTAGAATATGAACTACTCTGATACTTTAGCTCTTTAATTTCTAGAATAACCACGTGGCTAGAGTATCATCATCCACTTCATTCAAACAGTGGACAACCATGTGGATGAACGAGATGGGCTCTTGGTTCAACATCTCTCTTTCTCAGATGCATAGTTGACTCAGCACGTTTTCAAAATCCAACCACCTGTTTTTCTATCACAGCTCATTTTCTTTGGAATGGGAAAACCCTCTGCCATTTCATTCGATTAAATAGAACAAGATAAATACCAAGGTGAGGGAACATTTCACTTCTGACTCAGAACAAGCGATTACCATGTGCCTGGTGGGAGGATGCAATGTTTTCTCACCCAGATTAGATGCTGTTGAGATTATCCTTGTGGGTCACACATCCTGTGCACTCAGGGATCTCGGCTGTTTAATATGCTGTCTGCTTATATATTCTGGGTTATAATAGGAAGAACTGGTACAGAGCCATTAAAGAATATTAGTGAAATATTTGTCATCATTAAACATTTTTTTAAAGTTTTCATTTAATTATTTCTACTAAATTTTAAGAAGCAAAAATGAATAGTAAAAATTTTTCACCCTTAACATTTTCCTTTTTTGAACTTCACAAGCTCTTTTTAGTCTTTCGATTGTTTATTGTCATCTTAATTTTTATTCTAGGACTTTCCAAATATGCCAATGATCAAATGCCATCTCATTATTACTCGTAAGGGGAAAACAAGCACACGTATTACTTTTAAATAGGAAAACATTCAGTAGTGTAATAGTATAAAAGACCTCTTAATATGCCCCATGTGTTCTTTTGAAAAGCTATATGAAGTGAATATATATATCAGGAAAAAAAAAACGGTTTGCTAAAAATAGACCGTGCTGTAGTGAAATACATTGTAATGTAGACTTTGGTCTAATAGGTTCATGTTCTGTTTATAAACAGAAGATTCTGTCATAGGGAATATTAAAAATATGTGAACATTGGTTAGGATAGCATTTCACTTTAAAACTGCCTTTAGGGTTAAGATGAATGAAGCATTTAGTTTCTGTGACAGTAAGTACTCTCAGCCCAATTCTTGTTCCTTATTGCTGTGAGCTAACTTCACATCATCACAGCTCTTCATTATATGTGATTCCAAATGGACTGATTTCCCGTGCCTCATAAATAATTTCTAGAACAAGTGCAGGACTCATCTTCTACCTTTTCCTGCCACAACCCAACAGTATAACTCTGTATTTTGTATTTATGAATTTTTGGAAGACATCTACTACTCTAAAAATTCAGAAGTTGGTCTTAATTAAGGCTGTTCCAATGATGTGTTACAAACACCTGAAACAATCATCAGCACATGATGGACGCTCAGCAGGTACATGGGGAATCTTCTAAAAGTTCATGGAAAAAATCAAAAGAAAAGAGAATGTAATTTTTCCACAAACTTTTTGAAGCCCCCTCATAATTAATTGAATTTATGAATAATTCAAAACACTAAGCTCCTAAAAAGCATCATTACAATGAAAGATGATATTCATGTTCAAACAATAAAGTTCTATCAGATATACTCTGGTGGCCATATCTCTCAGAAATAAAAATAAAAGATACATACCTGGAACTTACCTGCTCTATCATTTCTGATCGTCTCATCTGGAGACGAGTTATTTCTGACTATGCTGTCTAATTTAAGCAGGTCACAAGTTCATTTTTTCGCAGGTTAGGGTATTTTAAATTATTTATTTTGATTGAATAGTTTGGGACATTTTCCCCCCAGAAAAAAAATCTTCAATCTTTTCTGCATGAATGAGCATCTCTATTTATGACAGACCCCGCCCAGAGACACTCACACCCTTAGTGATAATTGATCAATTTTGTGTATTGGTTAACATGGAGTATGTCCTCTCTACCCCAAGTTGGAAGTATAGTCTATAGGCTTTTGTACTGTGATGGTGATGGTGGTGTGCCGTGGAGTTGGTTCGACTCATAGTGACTCTGCATACGATTTCCGAGGCTGTAAATCTTTCCAGGAGCAGAAAGTCTCAACTTTCTCCCATGGAACCGCTGATAGTTTTGAACTGCTGACCTTGAGATTAGCAGCCTGACTTGTAACCACTACACTACCAGAGCACCTTAATGACAGATGTAAGGAACCACAAAGTGGGCTCACTGAATCGGCAGCAGCAGCAGCAGCCCTTTGGGTATTTGTTAGACATGAAAATGAGTTCTTGAGATTGGGGACCAGGTGATTCTGATGGGTTTTACAATTAGAAAGCTCTGGCATAACAAATAAATGCTAGACTTGAAAAGACTGCTTTTTTCTGTAGAAGTGGAATCAGAAAATATGAGACGGCTTCCAAAAGTTCATAAGAAAAGCCCATTTCCTTTTAATTTCATTTTTCCATGAACTTTTGTGAGTCTCCGATGTGCTTTAGTTTAGTGGAATGGGAAAGACTCCAACTACATTTGAGAACAATCAGTGAATGTGAAACAGCAGCATTCTTGTTAGTTAGAGGAACACACTACGCCTGCAGATAACTGAGCCGATTGATGCTTGACAGGGAGGCGAGATAGCCAATTAATTCTTTGTATTATCGGAGAACAGTGAGAGGCCCACGACTTCTCCCTGCTTGTTATTGTTGTTGTTAAGTGCCATTGAGTCGGTTCCGACCCATAGTGACCATGTATAGGGTTTCCAACAAGCAGCTGGTCAGCTGACATTGCAGTCCTGCAAACAAGACCAGTTGTTCTCTTCATTGTCTAGCCAATGAACCTGACCGCCATCCAGTGGTTATTTTACAGATATTATTTGCATGTCTATTCGGCCTCTAATGAGGCCCAAAACATACAGTGTTATTCCTAACTGCATTGTAATGGCCCTGAAATCACAGTGATGGGAAATTTTTTCAAATATTCATTCACTACAAATAAATAGACCACTGCAGGAAGGCCGGCTTTGTCATTTTTCTTGTCTTAATTACTAGGTCATAATTCAGGAAGTAGAAAGTCGGGTCAGCAGCATCACAGGATTAGAAGAAGAAGCGCAGTCGTTTGCCCAGTTTGTTACCACGGGGGAATCTGCTCGAATCAAAGCCAAGTTGACTCAAGTGAGGCGATATTGGGAAGAACTCCGAGAGCAGGCACGATGCCTGGAGAGCATCATCCTGGGACATTGGTCTCAAGAGCAAACCTTTGAAGAGAACCTGAGACAGGTAGGGATTGGTCCATGCATGCTATGGTTATCTATTTCACATTGGATGTAGAGTGAAAAGCAATCAGTTGTCCAGAGACAGTGGAATAAGGAAAAGAAAGACGTAATAGACCACTGATCAACCAAATTGTCAGTGATGGGTGCAAGTTTACTTTAAAATGATGTTTATGATACCATATTATGTATATGGTACATTTTAGGAAGGATATGAGAACATTATGTTCCGAGGGGTATTGAGACTTTATTGCATTCCTTTCAAATGAATGACTTTAGATTTTTCAAAATACATCTTATCACACATTGAAAATAGTCACCAAAAAAAAGAAAAAAAACGGGGAACATACTGCTTCCCAAATAACATTTTTTTTGGGATCTGATACATTTTTTTTTCTCACCATGATTTTTCTCTCTCTCCCTTGTTTTAGCTCCAGCAGTCTGTGTCTGACTTTGAAGATAAACTTGCTGATCCAGTTAAAATATGTTCTTCAGCTGCAGAAACGTACAGACTTCTCCAAGAACATATGGTGAGAATATGTTTCTGCAGTTCTGTTTCAGTATCAACTCAGACACTTGATAATTACTGCTTGAGAAGAAAACCCAGTAAATAATTTGTGCGAACTAAAATTCTTACGTTAACTAGAGAATTCTGTAGACTAAATGCATTGACTTCAGGTAACACAAGATATGTTAAGTATACAAGTGAATTTTCATGGAAACCTTTAAGTCAATGAGCATGTACACTGTTTCTTTTCATACATCTGGTGACCTTTTCAGAGTAGGGTTTTAATAAACCTTTCTTATTTGGTCTTCTCTGGCATGAACTTTAACATCTTACGTCTGCAAGGGAAAGAAAGATAGTTGTTCAGTAGATTTTAGAGACTAGACGGAAGCACTTGTATAGATGTGCAGAGGTGATGTCCTCACTGGTCTTCACTGATCCTCACTGGTCCTCACTGGCTTGTGGCTGGCTTTTGGGGTCTGGTCCCTGAACTGGTGACCTTTTCAGAAACCATCCGTAAATCAGCCAACAGATGCCCATAGCAGAATTGAGGGAGGGAGCAAAGTGGGGAGAAGCAGGTATACTTAAGAATATCATGAATAAGAAAGACTGTAGAATTGATGCTTTTGAGTTGTGATGTTGGAGGAGAATATGGAAAGTACCATGGGCTGCCAAAAGAACAAATGAATAGATCTGTGTTGGAAGAAGTGCAGCCACAGTGCTCCTTGGAGGCCAAAATGGCTGAACATTGTCTTTCATATTTCGGACATATTGACAGGAGGGACCAGTCGCTGGAGAAGGAGATCATGTTTGGTAAGGTGGAGGGTCAGAGAAAAAGAGGAAGACCCCCAGCGAGATGGATTGGCACAGTGGCAGCATCAGTGGGCTCAAGCGTGACAATAATTGTGAGATTGGCTAAGGATCAGGCAGTGTTTCGTTGTGTTGTGCATAGGGTCTCTATGAGTCGGTACCGACTCGATGGAACCTAACAACAACAAAGAGTCCTGGTGTGGCGCTGTAGGATAAGCACTGAACTGCTGAATGGAAAGTCAGTGGTTCAAACCCCTGAGCTTCTCCTTGGAAACCCTATGCAGAGTCACTATGAGATGTTCCTGACTCTACGGCACTTAGTAACAAGTGTGTGAAACGTGCACAAATGAACACAAATGGGCACAAATACTGCCAAGAGCTGTTCCAATAGGAGCTAGCTGACTGACTGGCAACGCAGGTCTGCAAAGGACGGTGGCGGTTTCTTGGCTCTGAGTCTTTCTTTTATAATGAGAATGCATTTCTGTGCCACTTAAGTAACTTTGAAAAAATATTACAAGAAAAATGAGGAAGTATTGGAAAACGGAATCTGATGAAATTATTTTAGTTGACAGTAACTTAGCATTTCAGTGTTGTGAACCATTGCTGTAGAATCTGTTTGGACTCCTGGTGACCCTGTGTGGATGTGGACTAGAACAGCTTTCCACAGGGATCTTCAACACTGTGAACTTTTGGGAGCAAAGCATCAGGTCCTTTCCCTAGGTGCCTCTGGGTGGGTTCAAACCAGTAGCCTTTTAGCTAGTAACTGAGTGCCTACCTGTCTATACCAGGGACCCTAATTCAGTTTCATAAAAATTTAGACTTCTTGAAGCCAGTTATGTTTTCCTGCCTAAAGTTTTCATCTGTACAATGAGTATAATGAAAGGAAGGCCTTTTAGCTCCCTGAAGAGGGTTAAATGAGCAAATCCATGAAATGTACAAAACACTGCGCCTGTCACATGGCACCACACCCTTACTGGTATTGTTGTCATTGTCATTGGTTTCTGACAGCAGCTATTTCAGCAATAATTCTCTGCGTATGTTTTGTAGAGCGATTAGCATATGACAAGGATCCCTGGTGTCACTGCAGGTTAAGCATTGGGCTGCTAACCATAAGGTTCCCGGTCCAAATCCATCAGCCGTTCCCAGGGAGCAAGATGAGTCTATCTGCTACAGGAAAGTTTTACAGACTTGGGAACCTTAGGAGCAGTTGTATTCTGCCTTGAATGGACTCAACAGCTGTGTGTGTATAGCAGGGATGGGGAACCTTTTTCTGTCAAGGGCCATTTGGAACTTTATAATATCATTCATGGACCACACAAAATTATTAACTTTAAAATTGGTCTGCAATATCGGATCAAACATTTAATTCACTCATCCCTAATGAGTCCTGGTGTGGCTCCCTGGGGCAATGCAGCTGGTATACCGCAGTGGGTTAATGCGCTGGACTGCAAGGCCTGGTTTGTAGAATATTATATGTTGTGTGTTGTATAGGGTTTTGAATAACAGCTGGTGGGTTTGAACTGCTGACCTAGAGGTTACCAGTCCTGTGCCTATCCTACTGAGCCACGTGTACCTTTTGTAGATTTGAAATTCAATTTTTCAAAGTTCTAATATCTCTAGCATAAATTCAATAATAACTGCACAGATTATCTGAATTGTTAAGAGAATGTTGGGATGATTCAGAGCATACAGTGACAGATGCTTACTTGGGGAAGACGTCTGCATTCTCATTCTTCATTTCTGCTCTCACAACGGAGCCATCCCCTGACTTGCACTGTGTCCTCCTGAAAATCATGGGCAGGGCCATTCCATAGTGCCATTGCATGTTTATGACAGAGGAAAAAGTGTTATGGTGATACCTCACAAAGAAAGAAGAAATTGGTGTCAAGTTTTGACCCAGGTCTCTCCATTGCGTTTCTTCCGTGTTTCTTTAGGATCTTTGCCAGGCTTTGGAGTCCCTGAGCAGTACAGTGGCTGCTTTCTCAACCAGTGCCCGAAAGCTCGTGACCCGAGACTCCTCCACCCAGGAGGCCAAGGCTGTCCAACAGCAGTATGAGGGGATGCTGACCAGGGCCAAGGAGAGACAGGCTGTGCTGGAGAGCCGTCTGGTCCACTGGCAGAGGTGAGCAGCCTGCTTTCTGTAACATGAGTTTCAATATTGTTAGCTACTGGGAAGGTAGCCTCAATCTCCTGGAGACGTCATGCACAACAGAAGGGAAAACTGCCGGATCCTGCTTCGTCCCCACGATCAATGGAGAATCGGGCTGCTGGGTCTGAAGGGTTTTCAATGGTTGTTTTTCAGAAGTGAATCTCTACAGCTTTCTCATCTGTCTTCATTCAGCTTCACAGCAACACACAAATGTCCAGTGACAGATGGACATCGGCTGCACATCAGGTGCATTGGCTGGGAATTGAATCTGGATCTTCCATATGAAAGGCACACATTCTACCTCTGGGCCATCATGGCCTACACAGACTTCCATTTTTCCATAAACTTGTAGAAACCCTCTCATATTTAGTGGAAATGCTCAACTAACTTTATTATTATTGGAACTTTTTATTTTGATTTGAGTAGAGGTTGGCAGAGGAGATCACCAGTTTTACGTTTAACGAATTCTATGCTTCATTTCATCTCAATGGTTGCATGTAACAATGGTTAGCAGGGGAGATTGCCAGTTTTACGTTTAACAAATTCTACCCTTCATTTCATCTCAATGGTTGCATGTAACTACAGTTGTCCCACTTCCTCCTTGTGGTTCTGATTTCCATTCCACTCTCCACCCCCACCCCTTCTCAGCTGTGTCCTTAAGTAAATGTCAACCTTTTGATCGTGAATTGCTGATCATTTCTTACTAGTGTTGTTGTCTCCCCCTAAGTACCTATCTACTGTTGGACTGAAAATTGGGCCACAAGGGTGAGTTCCATTCCAGACCTGAAGAGTGTGGGCTAAGTATTCTTTAGTGATGGAAAGCAATCATCCCAGATGCAAAACTTGTGAACTCATGTATCTGAGAAGATCATATTAATCTTCACTGTAATGTGGACAGAATGTTCTGTATCCTGACATGATACACAGATACAAATGTGGGTCAGCACACATGTGAAAATGAAAATGAATGGAATGATTGTTGTGGAAAGAAGTTCACGAGTGCTGTATTCTGTTTGATGGTTGGTGTTGGACTGTCTATTTTTCAGTACATGCATTCTTTTTTTTTAAGTTTTTATTGTGAATTGAGTGATACTTTACCTGGGAGAACATCAGTTATACACTCATTGTTTCATTGCAATGATTACAAGCTCTTCTGTACATCATTATTCAAGAGTATTAGTGTCTATTCCCTCTGGTGTTTTGTTTGCTTGTTTTTGGATGTACACAAAAACACTCAGGAATATACAATCATTTAAACAACCAAAGGGCACTTTCTGCAAGCCTGCCTCCTGGCCTCCAGCACACAGCCTTTCTCTTTCCCTGAGTCTGAAGTCCTCAGCTGCTCTCTCTCTCCATCTCTGGTGTCTCAGTATAATCATTCTTGATGAATTTGTTTATCTCTGTTTTCCTTAGGCTGGAGAAAGAACTGTCAGCCTTTTTGACCTGGTTAGAGCGGTGTGAAGCTATAGCTAGTTCCCCAGAAATGGGCATCTCTGCAGACAGAGTCAAAGTGGAGAATGAACTTCAATTAATACAGGCAAGTTCACAGAAGGATAAGGAAAGACAAAGTGTTGCTCTTGGTTGTGGTTGCATCACAAACAAATGAATCCCCATCCAGTTTACATCTTGCCTTGGTTTTGTGATCCCTGCAGCATCATTTCAAGTCAGGATTAATCTGAAATGAAGAGCTCCATCCTCGCCTGAAAGATCAAGTAATGCTGACTTTTGTGATGCTCTAAACCACAAGGTTGGCAGTTCAAACTCACCAACTGCTCTTCAGAAACCCTATACAAGGTTGCTATGAGTCGGAATCAACTCAACGGCTCTTAACAACAACAACTTCATGATGTATTAGAAAACCCTGTTGAATGTCAGGCCTTTGAATAAAAACTATGTGGTGGGGGAGCTGGGTAAGGAATGAGCAGGGATATAGATGGAACAGTGTTGACTGTGAGCTGTTTACATTTTTGTTTTAACTTTTTATTGTGAATTGAGTGGAGTTTTACAGAGCAGATCATCAGTGCCAAGCCCCCAAATCACCCAGTGTGTTTCCTTTCAGTGATTACAATTCCCTTCATGTAACAACACATATGCCACATCCTCCCTGTGGTTCCTGTTTCCATTCCACCCTCCTTCCCAACTTCTCTGACCTTGTCCCAGGTAAATGTTGCCCTTTTGATCTTGAGTGGTTGACCATTCCATGGTGAGCATACTTCACTATGTTGTTGGCTCTCTTACGTATATTTCAATCCACCACTTGGTTGCCAGTTGGGCCATGAGGGTGAGTTCTGTTCCAGACCTGAAGGATGGCTTAGGTCGATAGTTTTGGTTTCTTTCCATCTCTTTCTGACCAGTAAGCCCAGTAGTTTTCTAATTTGAAGTTTTGTGCCACATTGTCTTCCACTCTGTGTGGGACCTTGGAATGTGATCCCTTTCAAAGCAGTTGATAATGGTAGCTGGGCACCATTTAGCTCTGCTGGTCTCAGAGTCAGGGAGTTCATGTGTTCTCAGGGTTCATGTGTTCCGTTAGTCTACTGGACTGATAGATGCCAAGCACCTTCGATTTTCATCACTCTCCTTTCTTTCGCACATGGAGAGATGAATAGTTGAACCCATATTTTTGAAGCTGAATGATAGATGTGTTCTCTCTACTTTGGTATTTACATGATATTTTTATTTTGAAAAGGTTTTTAAAAGAGAGAAATAAACCTTTAAAATAAAAGTTTTTTTTTTAAAAGAGAGTAAGAAGACATCACAGTAGTGATTATTTTCAAGCAAGACAGAAAAATGAGTGAAAACAAACATACGTAGCAGGTAGACAAAACAAAGACAAGAAGTACGAGTTTATTACATCTGTGAAGAAGCCATCTTTTCAAACAACAGGTTGTTGTTGTGAAGTGCCATGGAGTCGGTTCCGACATATAACTACCCTACACAGGATTTCTGAGGAGCGGCTGGTGGGTTTACACTGCAAACCTTGTGGTTAGCAATCCAGTGCTTATCTTACAGTGCCACGCCAGGAGTCCCATAGGCCATGTTATTGATTCCTGGAGATGCAATTGCTGTAAGTGAGGGGGTGTGTCGCAGAGAATTCAGAAGGCACACTTGCTGCTCAGGAGGGCGTATTGTGTTACAGATTTCCACCTCAACTTGTTTCTATCGCCTTTTATAAGAAGTTTAAGAGGAAGCCAGCTTTGACTCCTCAGCTGCTTCTACAAACTTCCTGAGAGGGTGTCTGTGAGCACTTATTGCTTTGTCTTCAGATTTTCTCCTTCCTAGATGTCAGGGGTACCCCACAGTCTTGAGGGTACCCCATAATCCTGGTTCTCTTGCCTTTCTGCCCTGAACATGAATTTCTGACATTAACCTCCATAAGAGTTCCTTTGATTGTACTAATCATTGGTTGTAAACCCACAGTGATGGCTTCTGAGGGTAAAGGTCAGAGGCCTCAATCTACATCTGGTTCTTCTTATGAGTATGAGGGAACTTCAGAAAGTTCATGGGAAAAACTCCATCATCTTTTCATTCCATTTATCCTTAAACTTTTTAAAATGATACAATATGAAGGCTCCTAAGAGAGGGGAAGGGAGTCTGGTGTGGTGCTGTGGGTTAATGCGCCAGACTGCAAAGCTGTTTGAACCACAAGGTTGGCAGTTCAAGCTGACCATCCGCTTCTCAGAAACCCCATACAGGGTCGCTATGGGTCAGAACCAACTTGACGGCACTTAACAACAAGAGGGGAGGACCCAGCTCCTTTCCTGAAAAATGATAAGGCACAGACCAAAGCTGTCTGGCCATCTAAGCTGCATTCCTATGTGTGTCTGTGTGGAAAGTCCGTGTCTCCAGGGTAGGGGACCCCGGGAGTGGTGACGTCCACCTCCCTGCAGACACACCTCCTGCTTCTCTGCTGTATGAACACCACCGTCCTGGGACACCCCAGGTGTTCTTGGCCCAGGTGTTGCTCTTTCCTTTTTCTGCTCAGTGTAAGTCCCAAGCCTGCTGTGTGGCCTTCCTCCCAGCCCTCTGCAGCCTGTGGGACTGGCTTGCTGCACTCTGACACCTTTAGCATCACAGACGACTTCCTTAGGGATGAGAAAGAAAACTTCTTGATGAGTGTCTACTGTGTGCAGAGTCAGTTCATATAGCTCTGTGAGTGCTTACAACTTTGATCTTACTAGGTAGGGACCATGACTCTTAGGCATCCCTTACAACGCTTAAGTGATTCATTCCCCAATTAAATAAAAGAATAAGTAGTTCTGTTGTGTAGGAGAAAAATTAAGAGCACTGAAGTTCCCCCATTTTGGCTTTAATATAGTCTCTGAATGAGCCCCTGGTGTGCCGCTGTAGGAGTTTGAACCGCCAACCTTGAGGTCGAGTGCTTATCCTATGGCTCCACACCAGGACTGTAAATCCACAACAAGACACCAGAATCTTCTTAAAATCAAGTTAAAACTAACAAACAGTATCTCTTTTAGCCTGGGCTCAGTGGCATCCAGAGGTTTGAATAGCACCTGAGTCATGTGGCGCCAGATGTTCCGTTACATTGGGCTGAGGTCTGAAATGTATTCTGTTTTTTCAGGCCCTACAACATGAAGTTGTGGCCCAAGCTTCAGTTTACAGCAGTCTTCTGCAGCTGAAGGAATCACTGTTCTCAGTGACCTCCCAGGATGATGTGAAAATGATGAAACTGCGTTTGGAGCAACTGGATGAGAGATGGAGAGTTTTGCCACAGATCATTAGCAAGAGGTTGGGTTTTTGGTTTTCTTTCAACTTCTAATAATGTTCATTTGTTTTTCAATGGTGAGCATATAACTGAAGAGACCAGTTTTGTTTGTCTAATTTATCTAATTCAGCTCCTCTGGGGATGACTGTAGAATGGGGGAAAGCCCTTTACCTGTCATTTTCTGAATCAGTGTGCTCTAACAAACCCAGCATTTCTGAGGAACCTCAGTTCACAATTTCAATCTTGACAATAGCACAAATGCTCAAACCAATTGAAATGGATTGAAGAGAAGATTGCTAATGTTTGTATTATTTATTGAAAGTTGTTTGTATACAGAAAAAAAATGAAAACTAACATTTTGTCTCACATGTTTTACAACCAGAGGCATCATAAAGGGATGTGTCTGTATTGACACCTTTTTCTCACTTTTCTCTCTATTTTGTAATCTGAAACGATCATCCTCTATTTTCATAGAACGCCAATTTTCACATAATGACTTTGTCTTTGAACCCTGATTGTGCTGATGAGTGAGGAGGGAAATAGCTACATACTTACTCTTCACCTGTGCTACTCTCATTGTAAAGAAAATAGTAATACTCACCACTGGACCAATAAACAACATCCATATTATGGAGAAAAGATTGAAGTTGTCAAACACTTCGTTTTGCATGTATCAGCCATCAACACTCAAGGAAGCAGCAGTCAAGAAATCAAACGACGTATTGCATTGGAAAAATCTGCAGCACAAGACCTTTTTAAAGTGTTGAAGAGCAGAGATGTCAACTTGAGGACTAAGGTGCACCTGACCCAAGCCATGATATTTTCAATAACCTCACATGCATGTGAAAGCTGGACAGTGAATCAGGAAGACCATAGAATAATTGATTATTTTGAGTTATGCTCTTGGAGGAGAATATTGAAAGTGCCCTGGGCTGCCAAAAGAACAGACAGATCTGTGTTGAAAGAAGTAAAACCAGACTGCTCCTTGGAAGAGTTGGCCAAACTTCTTCTCTCATACATCGGACATATTGTCAGGAGGAACCAATCACTGGAGAAGGGTATCATGTTTGATAAAGTGGAGGGTCAGAGAAAAAGAAGAAGACCCCCATCAAGATGGATTGGCACAGTGGTGGTGACGATGGGCTCAGGCATAGCAGTGATGGTGAGGTTGGCCCAGGACTGGGCAGTGTTTTGTTCTCTTGTGCATAGGATCGCTATGAATCGGTACTGATTTGATAGCATCTGAGTGGGTATATATATGTTGTTGTTAAGTGTTTTCAAGTCAGTTCCAACTCATAGTAACCCTATATAGGGTTTCCAAGGAGCAGCTGGTGGGTTTGAACTGTTGACATTATGGTTATTGTACAGTGTGCCACACCAGGATGTGAAGTTCTTGTTGTGTCCTCATATATGTATGTATAGGGTTTCTAAGGCTATAAATCATTTTGGAAGCAGACTGCTACATCTTTCTCTAATGGGGCTACTGGTGGGTTCAAACTGGTGACATTTTTGCTTAGCATTTTTGGTTTGCTTTAGCACCACTAGGGCACCATGCACACACACATACACGTGTGCCATTGTAGAGCCCTGGAGAGACCACCAACAACAACAACAACAGGGGTAGTAAGGAGCCCTGGTGCTGCAGTGGTTAAGCACTCCGCTGCTAACCCAAAGGTTGGTGATTGGAACGTACCGGCCGCTCTGTGGGACCAGGCTGTGGTAGTCTGCTTCTGTAAAGCTTCAGAGCCATGGGAGGATCTGGGGCAGTCCGACTCTGCCTGGGAGGGTTCCTGTGAGTCTAGATCAAGGGCAGTGGTTTCCGGGATGGAGAGTGAACAAGGGAACTGAAGTCCTGACTCTCATGGTAATTATATGTCAGTGTGTTAGGAATTGGGAGGCAGGGAGGATACATATATAATTTTTGTAAAAAATTACTTAACAAGAAACATCATCAGGAAAACCCCAAAAGAAAATTGTCACCATGACTGACTACTACAAGAATAAGCAAATTGTTTTCTGGGAAGCCATCAAGGCAAGCAATCAAGTTCCTTCAGGACAAACTCCCTTCTAAGACTGAAACTCAAAGGGAATACATGAGCAGGCTTGTAAACTTGGTGGTGCCCATGTTCTCTACTCGTGAGTGGAAGAGGGGGAA